GCGACGGGACAACCCAACGCCTCGTGTAAACTTGCTGGACGTCTAATTTTACGGCGCCTGAACGAAATTGCAACGGATTTTGTCGAGATGATATTAAGGGCTGGAGTAATTAAATGTCAAGTCCTGACATCTTTGGTTGCGTAGGACTCAGCATGTTTGGCGATTGAAGAATATCATATGATATCATATCAATCTTTTTTCGCGTAATACTGGACGGCAGACTGTACGTCAAGCGATAACGTTCGAGCTCTAATCCGACAAGTTTTATCGCGCGCTTGGATGTAGACATAACTAAATGTTCGACTATTTTAAAGGTAAAACATGTAGCGCTTTTAAATCATTTTGGTTTAATGCTTTGTAAAGTGCGCTTTAAAGACTAACCAGTAGTAAATAAAAGTTACCTAAAAAAGTTAAAATGTTAAATTGTTCTGAATGACTAATTCGCATGTTGTTGCTGCACTTCGCTAACCGCCTGAAACCTTTCACAAGGATATTAAATCAGCTATTGTAAATGATAGGAGAAGCTGAATTTGATCATGTGTAAGCTTTAAAGGAGGCTGGCCAGCTCTATGTCAATAACGCTCTTCCGCACGTGGTAGTCAATAGGTGCATGTAACAATTCCGCTTCCGGTTAAGCCAATGATATATCATCACCAGTAGCAGAGTCGATATATGTAAAACTTAAATTTTGTCACCTTTTGTTCTTGTGGCACGGACTGAAGATTCTACATGAAGACGATACCTCAAACTTAAGAAAAGTGACAGATAACAAGGCCTTCAAGTAGCTGTGGACCGGACTTTATCAGGCGTTCACGCCTGACAAATCCAAAGTACACAGGAAGCCATAATTTTCGGAGGTTGTTGAATGTCCAGGAATGTGCACGTATCTCAGCGAAACACGGTTTGTGCGCAATGAAAAGGAATTTTGCAGCATGGAAGCAGATAAACAACATCTCGATAACACATCAACATCAAAGGCATATATCACTCAGGCATCACTGAAGCAGTATTTGCAATTTAGAACCAGCGAGCTGCACGACGGTTAAAAGCTCTTTCCTTAGTGTTTAACGCAATAAGATGAAAACGATTATCTGCCGATGTTGATACGCTATTTGCAACAAAAATGGCATGCATATCTGAAGGATGCCATATCACGGTCCTCTTTGCGATTGATCAAAAATCGGCGTGACTTGATGGGGGTTTAATGTGGCCATCACTTTTTACACTACAAAATTGCAGTGTGAATTCGTACAATATATGTTCTACCTGAGCACATTGCAGAGGAAAATTGTGAGAAGCAGAGCACTAGTTTGGTTCAGGTAAAACGCAAAGCACATGCACCTGACTTTCTCAACAGACGAGTTTAAAGAGCATGCTCACATACGGAGACAAGAAGTTCAGTGTAAAGTCTGCAAAAGGTACAAAGATCATGGCCATTATCTGAACTCGTGAACGCTAAACTTAGTATTTGCAATTCGCTTTTAGTCAGACGCCTCTCCTCAAAAATCTCAATGAGTCGAAAGCGAGGAGTAGGCGTGTTGGATACCAAAACAGAAATCGAGGACAAAGCAAGATTATTCCAGATTTAAGCATGCTAGGAAATGTCGCCGCCTTTGCAGTCTGTGTGATGAATGCAACCATAACAAATGATCATGCCTGTAAAATATATGCGATAAAAAGTTGATGTGCCTATTGGTGAAGAGTTTTGCCTAGGAGAGGGACAGCAACGTACATCCAAACACCCAGGTATTCTGACCATCTGTGATGGTCAAAAATAAGTTGGCAATTTGGTTGCAAGGTGATTAAGAACGAGATGTGAAGCGTAAGCTGGCAGAATTTTGGGCATTAAAGCCTCACACATGGAGCTATATTAAGTACGACACTATGTGCTAACCTTGTTCCTTGTCCTGAAAAGAGCAGCGGGACAAGGTAAACACGTGCACGGGTAATCTCGATACAGAAGTAAGGTTAATAAATGATTGTGAGTAACTCGAGAAGGTCAGCATGAATTGGGCTGACGATAAAAACTGTGTCGAATTCCTATTTATTGAAATTTCGTCGTATAGTCTGTTTTCACTTGTTTAAAAAGCGTGTGATCAAGTGACAAGGTGTGGTAAAATTATAACAATATGAGCAACACTAATGGTGAGGTAAAAAAATGTTAATAGTGCGTTTAGCTAATAAACTCGTAAATAGATTGTAATATCACCCTAATCTGGTCAATTAATCTTCCAGATTTATCATTTTTAGGTCTTATATAGATACACAAAGGTAACGGTATGGGGCCCTAAATATTATTATTTACGAGCAAAGGTGGCTGGTGGTAAAGCAACAATTCGCTTTTTCAACTTTAACCGAAAAACTAAATGTTACGTGGATCAATACAACAAAATTACACCGTCATTATGTCCTGCACTCTCACGGCTTGACGCACGCAGTCTGTATCAATTTTATTTTTCTTAATTTCGAACACACTGCGAAAATTTTAAACCTTTACCTACAGACACGTTTAATGAGTGATAAGAAGCTGTAAAGAGTGCAAATAATGCACACGACGGTCGTGTTCTATGACATGTTAATGCAGGGTATGACGTTAAGAAATTATTTAAAAGGACATTGAAAGATGGCGCAACACGTGCAAATTGCATGAGCCCGTGGACGCAAGTAATATGTTTTTGAGGATGTTAAGTATAAAAAATAAGCAGGAAGCGCAAAACTTTCACACGCCGAAACTAAAATCTCATCCTCTGTCACTATTCAAAGAAAAAAGATCTAAGGGTACCTGCATGAAGTGAACTAATAGTAGATGAAAGCTATGATCATGATCCCTCCGAGGATGCCAAAGTTTCTGCTTCCTTGCAAAAGCGTTCTTCACCAGACCAAAAAAGCAATGGTATCAGGCATTTTTATTGGATAATTTGTATCAAACGCTGCTTTCGTTACCCTGTGGTAGCAGAAAGGATATTATCCATAATTAAAAAGGATTTATTACAAAAAGGAAAATTCTTGGACGTTAAGAATTTACGAACGCACTTATGTCAAGCTGCAGCTTAAACACATCGGTACAAGTAATACGCTGCATGTTCCCTGATTAAATGTAGAAGGTCAGTTGACGCATCATTCCTTTTTCCTTGCAAGGATAGAGGATTAATCAAGTAGTTTCAAATGTAGTTTAAATCGACTACATATATCCAAAAATCGTTTTCGCCGGACTATTCAACGCATCATTGGTATGACAGCATTCAGCTGGCTGTATCGGTTATACCGTTGATTAGGGTGCCGCTGAATCTCACGTACACTACTACGTGCAAAGCAAGCTAATCTACTCAAACAGGTCGTTTGTGTAAAGGTAAAAAAGAACTGCATTCAGTTTAGTTAAGCCATCAATATAACTTCCAATTTTATCGAGCTAATATTAATCTACATTGTCGCATGACGACAACCTGCTCACCACTCATTACGCGCGTCTAGCAGCGATTGGTGGTAACCTTAATTGACATGTCTTTATCATCCAATCTTTGAGCAGCACATGAATATTATCCTACAAGGGGATAATATTCCCTCAAAATTTTACAAAGGGATTGATATTCCTTCAATGTTACCCATATCGGGTTTTATTGGCAGGAGATTGTCACGCTAGGAAGAATATTTTGTCATTATCTTGTATCGGGCTACCTTACTACATCACTCTCCCACAATGAATAATCGCCCGTTGTTTGAGTTAAATTGATCGGGGACAGGGTGACTACCGTTAGATTACTCTAAAAGGGAAGCACTTATTAGTCAAATTTTAACTTATTCGCCAATTCATCGCATATTGTGTCAAATGATATGCAGGGTGCTGCTAATGCAGCCAGGAAGGCGGTTTCGTGCATGGAGGCAACCTGAAGAGAGTTATTTGAAAGACTTTGCAGCAGGTGTTTATTCGCCTTCTAATACAAGTGACCAACAGGTAGTGTCTGTCGCGACTAGTCCACGCACCATGTACGGGTGAAGCGGGTGCAGAGACTCGAAATGTTGGTAGAGCCTGAATTCGGTCTCATCTCTTCTGGAGAGTCGGATGATGCATCCGACTCGAGGCGACACCTCACGCCTCCGGATCATCTGGAACGGACACTGCAGGAGCCAGATTGACTGGCTCTGGGGAAGGTGGCGGCATCATCTCCAAGATCTTCGGACCTAGCGATTAGTCTGACGAATCCTCGCCTCAAGCGAGTCCATCCGACGATAGGACGCGATGTGCTGGTGGTGACGCACCTATACATCACCACGGGAGAAGCAAATCGAGGGATCGATGTGTAACTGGTGTCAGTGCTCATGCTGACACCAATCAAGAGACCAGGGACCGAAATGTCCTGCGCCACGCTAAACCGAGTGGCCGGCATGACTGCCGAACGGGATCGAATCCCGTTGTCCGATTGCAGGAAGATTTTCCCACGTGATTCCAGCACTGAAACTATCCGTGCTGAGGAAGAATTCTTTACCAATGGGTTTTTTAAACATCGGTGGTACAATGGCAACAGTAATCGAGACGGTAAGACCTTAGTGCAGGAATAGAATTCTTATATTCACAACACCGAGTACATCGGCCGTGAGGTCTGGCTCGGTAAACTTGATGCAGTTCGCATCAGGTTTAAGAAACGCAACCGAGTAGGGGCGCGATACAAGTTGCACCGGCTGTCAAGAGAGGCAGGATTACCCTGTCTCTCTTGGGGTGATTCGTGTCCAGGTTGCCTGGACAACTCGAACCGTGCCCCTAGGGAGGCCTCCCTCCCTAATGTTCCCGAGTAGAGGGCGCGCATCTCTTCTGAGATGGCCGAAGGGATTGAGACTTTGCAATCCCTGTGCTCGCGTTCAAGGAGGCCTTTTCACGACGGCTCTTCTTAGAACGGAGCGGGTGGGTCTCGTCATACCGCTCGACGAGACCTAGAACATCGACAAATAGCTGCACGAGGCCCCCAGCTTTCCCACGCCGGTGGATAGCCACGCCAGCGGACAAGTCAGCTCGTCCGGACGCCAATCACGTCGCGGTGGTTAAAAATACGCTCCACCAGAAAGCATTGACCACCGCCAAAATCCACCGAAGGATGTGGCGACGGTGGGAACACCTGATCCGGCTCGAGGGTCGGATCAGCTTGATGTTCAAGAGCTGAACCGTGTAACGAAACAGTTGCAAGATGACCTGGCTCATGAACGGACTCAGCGTCATGGGCTTCAGGATCTTGTAAGGGATAATTACAATTCCCGAACGCACGATCGTTTGGACGATCGTGCCGCGTTTGCGTACGCGCAACTTGAGAACGAATGTTCGACTCGTTCTCTTCGTGATGAGCTGGCTGCTGCTCGTCGAGACATCGCTGAGCTGCGTGAACAGGTCGCTTCGCTATTCGGCCAGACTGGCTCGTTGAAACGGGACCACTCGAAAGTGGTCTCGGCCCTTTACCGCAGAGGTGTTCTTCGCATCTCGAAACGGGCTCGAACTGATAGTACGGGCGGAGACGTCCAGCGTAAAGCGTAGGATGCGTACGCATCCTACGAGGCAGTTTAATCGTGTATGCGTTACCAATGCGGCGCAACACACGAAATGGACCAATACACTTGGGCAGTAATCTGCTGCTGCCCAGTTTTGTCACTGCAATTTTTGGTAGATTTACTGTCGACAGTGAAACTAAATCTCCTTGATCAAATGAAAGAGCGTTTGCTCTTCCACGTTTGTCTGCGTTCTTTTCTGCTTCGCGAGTCAGCAGAACTTTTTCTGCTGATTCACCCGTGTCAACAGCAGTGCGCTTCATGCGCAATGCTGAAAGAACGTTGTCTGCACCAGTAGGGGCGTCATCCTCCTCACTGTGGCAGTCATTGGCGATGCCGAATATACCAGCATCGTCGACATCATCATCATCGATGTCGATCGCATCGACATTGGCATCCATCACGTCGACACCCATTGTCGATGGGTGATGAGCAAGAACCGGGCCGGGTTTTGTTCGAGTGAGTCCACCCCCGTCCACCCCCCCTCAAACTTGAGTCACACTCTAAGAAGGCGGGTAAACGTGGACGGCGTAGGCCATTTACGAAGAACGGCATTTGTGTTGTCGACGCACATACCGAGCTGTTGATGGCAAATTCCTCCATCGGCCAGAACTCACTCTAGCTCGTAAACGAGTGGCTGTACCCTCGAAGTATCTCATCGAGGACGCGGTCGACGCGTTCCGTCCGAACATCTGTTTCTGGATGGTCAGAAGTCAACATCTTCAAATGTGCTCTAAGTGAGCGGCACACGGATTTTCAGAACTCTGCTGTGAAGCGGGGGTCCCTATCAGACTCGAATCCACGAAGTCCCGTGAAGTCGAACAAAAAGGATCGATAAAGACACGAGCACAGCCCTGGGCTGTAATTGAATCCAGTACAGCAACAAGATGTACCATATTGCTGAACCGTTCAGAAAACATAAGAATAACAGTATTATTGTGAGCGTATTTAGGAAACCCAAAGACGAAGTCCATCGATACGGACTGCCAGTACGCTGCCGGAATCAATAGAGAGACTGCAATCGTACACGGGATGAAGTACTAGGCTTCAACCGTTGGCAATCTCTGCAAGCGCAAAAGTAATTGCGCACAAACTCATACTGGTGAGGCCAGTAGAAGTCACGACTTGCCGTGAGGTAATTATTTCTCCACCTCGATGCCCACTTGTTGGGTCATCGTGACACTTCTACATGACGCGCAATCGCAAATATTTATGAACTGGAACGACGAAACGAGGTGTATCGCCGTTGACTGATGTATAGTGCAGCATCAGTCCAGCAGTAGTCCTCAGTAGCAGTCCATCACGAACCGAATACTGTTCGGTTGAAGAGAGGTATTGAGACGACAAGCTTTTCAAAGCTTGACTGCATGGATCAGAAGCGAAATCTTTAAATTGCAGAATAGACTCATCTTCTGCGTATGCTCTCCGCACGTTGTCGAGCAGATTCGACGACGAAACACTCATTATTAGTGTTGCTACTGTGGGATTACCCGTACTGTTGTGTTAAGCAGTCGGCTCCAAATCGGGCCGACGTGAAAGAGCATCAGAGACGACATTAAGTCGTCCTGGTTTATACTCGAAGGAGAAGTTGTACTCCGCGAAGAAAGACAGCCACCTTGCCATTCGTTGCGAGAGGTGTGGACTGCTTACGGCCGTGTGTAATGACGCATAATCAGTACAAGCGATGAAGGGCATATCTCCTAAGAGATATACACGAAACTTAGCAGTGTATATTTCATGGGCAAGTAGTTCCTTGTCATGAACTAGATAATATCGCTCAGCTGCTTGCAGCTGACGCGATTGATAGTAGACGAAGCGCTCAACGCCGTCTGAGTCGTCCTGCATTAACGCGCAGGCGGTCGCAAAATCGCTGGCGTCACAGACCACATGGAATGGTCTGTCCTGGTCTGCAACCGCCAACACAGGCGATTGCAACAAGCTTTTCTTGATGCCTACACTCAGCGCTTTACGACCACTTCTCGTTTTTCTTTAATAAACGAGCGAAATGTACGGTCATCTCGGCATAGTTGCGCGAGTATGTGCACAAGTACGCTGCCAAGCCAAGAAAATTTTAGTGTCCCTTGAAGTTGACTGGAACAGGCGAGCCGCCAATCGCCTTGATCTTTTCCGGATCAGGGCGTACAGCGTTTTTACCCACGATGCAGCCAAGAAGTGGTATTTCGTTCGCTGCGAATATACACTTCTTGAGGTTCGCGAACAACTTATGATTTCGCATAAGTGTACGAACCTTCCGGACGTGAATTCTATGAGCCTCCACGTCCGTCTTTCCATCCATAGCCCGGCTATGGACGAAGACACCTCGTCGTAGTAACTCGGTGCAAAATCGCGCAATGATCGCAACAGATGCGTAACACATCTGCTAAACGTTGTGGGGGCGTTACTTATCCCCTGTGGCATTACTGCTCACTCCCAGAGCATACCACTGGGGTGATCACTGCTGTGTGAGGGATATCTCTTTCACGCATGAGGGTCTGATAGAATCCATCCATAAGATCCATGGACGAAAAGATGGTACTTTTTGCCATACCATCTACGATGACATCCTTTCTTGGGATCGGCGTTCGAGCCGATACCGTTGCAGCGTTCAATTGTTGTAACGCGTGTACTATCCGGCACCCTCCTGTTGCCTTTCGCATACAGAAGGTCGGAGAGCTGTGTGGGAATGTTGATTCCCTCGTATGACCAGCCGCTAAGCGGTCAGCAACGATTTGGCGATCGCTGTGACCTGTTCACGAGGCAGTGTCCACTGCTTCATTACACAGTACTTCGAACCGGGTTTCAGTTTGATATCATGCCGAGTGCCTTTGTCCTTGGGCAGCTCGCATGGCACGGATTCAGGAAAACATCCCCGAATTCAACCAAAGTCTCCTACAAAGGATTTGTCTTCAAAGACTACTAATATTGAGACGTGTATCGCTCAATCCGAGTCTTCTCATCGAGGACACTCTCATCCATCGATGAGCTGCTGTGAGCCCATCGTTCTCAGTAAACACTTGTGCCGACCGAATATCGGCGACGTACTCGTCCTCTGTGACGAGTACGCAGATCTGCTTGATCTTGTCACTACGCGGATCTCGCAAAAAAATTTTAGATTCTAGCGTTGGCAACTTGATTACCTCCGAAGCTGAATTCGGGGGTGTAACCAGATCAAGCGTATAAGCGCCTGAAATTGACCCGTCATTAATCAAGACATTCATCGGCTCGGTGATTTCCTGGGAAAACACATCCGCAGGTGGTTGGGGATCCACACCCTCAACATAACCCTCTCGGGAGTTATTGCTCTCAGAAACGCCGAAATTTTCATCCGTTACGGTTTCTATCACGGTCACGTCCTCTTCTATCGAATCTATTTCAGTCGAGCGGTCTTGCTCTACGATCGACTCTCTGTTAGTCGATCTTGCTTCAACGTGCCGTCCATCCTGAACAACACTAACCTCTCTTCTTGGATGCACCCTTATTGGTGTGCATCCATGTTCCATTCCACTCGGTCTCTTCGAGTAGTGAACCTTCGGCGCAGCCTGTGTCTCTACACAGGTGTCGGAAGCTGGTTCCACAGTGTAGTGGCCTTCTACACTGTGATCTTGTGCAGTCGTACTAACGACCGTACCACAAGTGAGGCCATCGCATCCACTCGTAGTACATCCACACGCTTGTGGACGCTTTAAGACGTTCATCAGATAGCCATCCGATAAACAAAAAGCTGGCATCTTCACGGATCGATGCTGCCAGCTAACCCATGGCCGGTAATTTCTAAGCCATGGCAGACCAAGGATGACATCAAATTTGTCATCCAAATTTAATACGATAAAGTCATCATCGTACTACTTTCCTTCCGGCGTGTTGTGGATTCCCACTACACGTTTGTTCACTGTTACGGATCCGCCTGCAGCAAGGCCTACCGTCATCCTCGTTGGAGGGAACTCTCGCTCAACGTAGTTGAGTCTACTATCCCCTAGAGACTGACGTCGAAGAAAACTGTTCGACGCCCCACAGTCAACTAGGGCTCGAAGTGACATACCACTTGTCACCCCTATCTTCAAAGTGATGAAAGATTCCTCATCACTAAGGGCAGTAACACACAGCGACTGTATGCTGGGAGCAATCTTCGTCAAGAGTCCTGCAAATTCTCTTGACGTTGCTGGATCAGCAGGGTGCTCCGCCCCTACTGGACCTGTCCGTTGTTTGACGGTCCGACTTGCTGTTGCGGTTGAGTGACATGGTCGGACCCATGCCTTGGACCTTTCCTTGGCCAACGGGCTTCACCACGTCCTGTCTATGGACGTGTTGCGGTGCTGGTCACCATTCGACACTACACTCATGAGCTACGCTCATGAGTGTAGTGTCCAATCTTCTGATAGCGATGGCATCTTGCCGTTCGCTTGTGACTCATAGAGGGAAAGTTCTCGCTCTCGATGTAACAGACCCCCATTGGTTCGGGACCTCCTGTTTCCTGTCGTCTCGTCGAACTGTAGTTTGACGAGTTATCCTGAGACTGTCTACGGCTGAAGTTTTTTTTTCGCATACGCTATTACCATTTCCAGCGCATGAAAGGTCTCTCGAAACATGCAGGTCTTCACCGGTCCGTCTGTAAGGCCGTGGATGAACACGTTGATGAGCGTGTGCTCATCAACAGGGGTTTCCGTGGCGCTACTCGCAAAGTAGCGGAGGTGTTGTGCATAAGCGTGCACGTCATGCTTACCTTGCTTGAGCTTTAGGAGTGCAAAGCGTGCTCTGAACTCGGCTCGTGGCGGCTCAAACGTCTCTTTGAGCCGAGACTTCAAGATCTCTAATGACACAAACACGTTTTGGTCGTGAAGCTTGAGCCCTTAGGCCCAAGTCTTTGCTCGTCCTGTCAAGTTTGACAGGGCGAAGGTGACTTGCATCTCTTCACCCTCGATGTGACGGGCCCTGATGGCGTCGTCTAACTCGACGAACCATCTCAAAAGGAATCTTTATCGGTTCCCTTGTACCTTGAGATATCTAGCTTCAAAAATTTGGGTGGACGCATGTGCGTCGGCCCGCCCATCGACTGATGAGAGCCTTGCTGCTGTAGCAAGGCTATCTTCTGTCGTTCGACGGCAAGTTCCCCTTGTAGGAACTTGTTGATAGCAGCATGTTGATAGAAGCATGTTGCTGGTCTCTGCTTAGAGACTCCAACATACCGCTGATGGCGGGTTCGCCCATAAGCACACTCATGCGGCCGACTACCTCCCGTTCTGAGTCACTCAGATGGGAGAAGCCTTCACGTGTGACGTGAAAGCTGTCGTCTTTTACGTCCAACATGTTCATGTTGAACGACACTAAGTAGTCTTTGGACGGACTACAAAGTGCTACCAGGTGTAACGGGGCACCCTTTGTTTGGACTGCCGCGAAAATTCACGTACACTCGTACGTACAGAGGAAGCTAATCTACTCAACCTGCTAGTTTGAGTAAATGATAAAAAGAGAACCGTATTCAATATATTCAAGCTATCAATGTATCTTTAATCTTTGTCGAACTATTTTTCTAAAGTACGCCGTCGCATGACGACAACCAGCTCACCACTCATTACGCGCGTCCAGCAACAATTTGTGGTATTCCAGATCAGTATGTCTTTTATCAACCAATCTTTGAGCAGCGCATGAATATTATCCTACAAGGGGATAATATTACTTCAATACTACATATGTAGGAGGGTATAGTGGCAGGTAAATGCCACGCTAGACCATCTTTCTAATGAAACCGTTTAATGTCAATGTCATGTAACGGGCTACCCTGTTACAATGAGTATGGCAGATTCACTGCTTTAACCTCACTTTCTCAAATGTTTTTCTCCTTTTATTTGTTATATGATAGCCTTCCGGCAGCGCTAATTCGGCAAACGCGTGCCAAGCGTTGTCAGCAATAAAAAGATCTTCTGTAATCCGGTTGATGCCATTCATGTTTATTAAAGAAAGGGAGATCAAAAGTACGATAGCGTAGGTGATATGAGATGGAATGGACATCATTTCTGAAAGTACAACAAAAAACGACAATTTAGGCGGTTCCAAATACAATCATTTGTTCAATGTATGGGATGAAGGCTCATTAGCAAAAATTGATGGCTCATCGACGGTTCCCTTTTTATATTACTAACGATCCTTTCGCATTTTTTGATTTAAAAAAAAACGGTGAAGACGAACGTAGGGAAGCAATTTCCGCTACTCTTCATTGAATCAACGCAGCTTTAAATGCCGACGTCTGCCCACCTTCCGTCATTCAAGGCAAGCTAGCACAAAACACCGCGATGTACAAAGAGGCGCTCGGGTGTAAAATTATAGTGTTATTTTAAGCAATTTTCGCTCGAACAGCTGTACAAGATACAACATTTGGCTGGGTCAATATAACATAATTTTACGCGTTCGCCTCATACAAGCTGACCTGGCTGTAAGTTTGTGTGCCATTGTGGCTTTTACCGACATTAGTTTCAGTCAGCTTTCAACTACCGACACTATGCTAAAGAAACCAACGACGGATATGTAGCTAACTGGCATCATAGACATTGACGATGACATAATGCTTGATTAAGGTATATGTAGTGGGCGAAATGCACCGGGGGTTGCGATCATGCACTATCACGTGTACGGGAAGCTGATGTCTTACGCAAGAGATCAACGAATCCCACTCTGCTCAGCCGGATTGCTTGAACACTTGTGGATTGGAGCAAAAGTAGATGCACATCGCTAGTACTTGCCAATTCCAGAGCTTTCACATAGTATGGCAAAGGCTTCCAACGAATGTCATTAATCTGTTGCGTTCTTATCGCGCCGCAACTTTTACTGCACGGCCCTCACGAAATGTGTGAAAGACCTTGTCCCAAAGTGAAAATCTCTTGGCAAAATTGTAGCGCTGATGAGTGTGGTGTAAGTCATGATCGTGGATGCGCGAACAGATGCCGGTAACATTGTTTAGCAGCGGCAATTGTGGGAACGACACGCCCTTGACATCCAATCCCGAGTGACCTGCAACTTCCACGTACGTCTTGTACGCAAAGAGCAGGTGCAACTGGAGGCCCGACATCGAGAAGTCAAAACTCCACGCTAAACAGAACGGCAGCACATTGGTGAGGATTAGATCCATGCCGTCTTGTGCATACGTCGATAGAGGGCACGGGTGGAGATGCAGGTGGTGACGCTTGTGGACGTTCTTGTAAAGCCACGGAATGTAGTGGCATGCCCGGTGCATCACGTAGTGGAAGAAGTCAAAGGTGACTTCAAAGAGTAGGGATTTGGGGATAAACGTGGCGAATTCGACGAGGAACATCTGCCAGTTTAGACTGCCTTGTATGGACCCAGCAGTCTGGTTTGCAAACCAGAACGACGCGCACTCGGTGGGCACCGCGACCCGTAAGATGCTGCAGTAGATGGATCTGGTCTGCTCGGCAGTGAGCTGTATACGCTTCTTACCGTGAATATGCGGCTTCGTAGACGCGATCATATCGAACCACTTGATCATCGCTACAATACGTAGCAAACCGACGCTGTAGACCAGCGACAGCTGTAGAAGCATTCCTGGGGACTCTCCGCTGCGATCCATCGATAACAACGCGGCGTAAGTGAACAGGCCGACGCTGAGGATAAACGCGTTGATGATCACGTAGAATTTGCAACGTCGAGCGACTCGCTGGCGCATGCTACCTCGAAGTTTACTCGAGGCCTTGCCATGAAGCATGCTGGTCCTGATGACGGGCGACTTCTTGAGGCAATGATTAAGCTTCAATGATGCGAATCTGCAAACAGAGCAGGCGGTTGCGTATCGATGGCGCTGATTGTTTAGGATGCTTTCTTGTAGTGTAAAAGGATACGTAAGGTATGTTTGGTAGCTTTCGAATAGGATGCTACCCCAGATGCAGGACGGTTCCACGAGTCTGTGCTGGAAGTTTGCTGCCCCAGATGCTGGACAAGTACACACACCCATTTACTGGTAGAATGCTGCCCCAGATGTTAAGCGGCGACGCCACCCATTATATTGAGTTCTTGAGACAGAACATTTAAAGACCACGTGACGCATATCTCGAGCAACTGAACAACCACGCGTGCAGTTTATTAGAGCTTGCGATCAAGAGTGTTCGTTTAAGCCTATGGCTTTCGTTTTTGCCGAAAAGTAAGTACTGCTATCATGCATATTGACAAATGCAAAAGACCACGATATGGCTCCAGGAATACATACGGCTGATCGCAACGCCGCGACTGTAAAATTAATGACCGTGATGCTGCCTGTATTCAAAGCTCACGAACCCTTACGCGTAAAAGCTCACGTTGTGCACGAGTTTGTGTGTCGACCAACACGCTTTTGTGATTACGTATCGCAGTCAATGTTACTGTAACCGCGGTGGCAAGTAGTTGCTTGAATATTACAGTGGAACCTGCAATCATTTTGATTGGAAGGCGTTAGTGCATCAACAACATGACATACTGCGAACACGATCTAAAGGCAGCTGAATATGCCGTTAAGAGATGGAAGTGCTGTTTCGAATGTGTGTACATTGATAGGTAGGACCTAAGCTAAACACAGTCCAGACCATAGATCTACGACCACCCACCTTTATGGTCAGAATTCGATAACTCGTACGATTTTGGTGCTGGTATTTGAGTGTGTTATGCGGAAAGCTGTCACATATCGCCTCTTAGTGCATAACGGCTCCATTTTTTGCGTCGGTGGCACAGCTGGGGCTCGGACCCGGACCAGGTTTTGCTGGGTCGAACTAGTGTTTGACCCATCTAGTCCGAGTCGCAGGTCGGGGGTAGACCCAAACCATTGACTTCTCCGTTAGACTTCATCGAGGAAACTGTTATTCCCACTCTCTAAAAGTTGTACATTCCACTCCTACGGGTATACAATTTGGGTTGCGTAATTTTACACCAAAAAAGGATTCTATTCTGTCGAAGATAAACCACAAAGATAGGGGAGCAAGGTCTGGAGCTCGCCCTTCTATAACTATTTTAAGACAAGGAACTAAATCTCTCTCTGTATTTACGTTCCATTTTGGGTGTTTAGTGGTCAGGAATGGATAATTTGATGTGTGATTAAATCAGGGCAATCCCTCGATCACCGCAACCTTGTTGCACGTCGCCGGCAGTTTCACCCAATCAGGCGAAAATTTCCCAAAAGTAAGTAAATTCAAAAACTCTTAATCAATGCTACCCCAAAATAGACATGTACTCGACAAGATTAGTTCTTCTGTTGTTCAATAGTTCTATCGTTTCATTCTTAAGTTTCGTGTGTGCGTCTAAAAAGGAGAATGCGCAGTCGATGAAGCCAATAAAGGGTGCGTGATATGAGAATACATGCCAATCCTGCCGACGGCTGCGGCCAGTCACGATGACACGAAAATTAAAGTGGCGAGCATTTTAAAGAAGAACGCAACCGCAAGTGAATATAGAAGCAGCAAACATATGATGAGACCGTCGAAGGGATGCTGAAAACCTATTCCACCAGAGTGGCCGAGTATATTGTGCCTCATGAGAATAAAAATCAATGATCAAGGCGGAGATGAAATGCATCCGGGGATTTTTTACGCTTGTACCGTTAAAAATTATCACCAAGGTGTTGTCGAAAGTGTTACCACGCTGAACAAAACGCGTGATTCTGTGGCTTCCGACCGCACAGTACCTTGCGCTAGATGAGTCATGTAATGAAGTTGACGAACATCTAGACTCAAAACTAACTCCATTATATAAGAACGATACGAAGTCGCGGATTGAACGAAGGTGAAAAAGTAAGCGAGATTTTTAGGATGATAGTGAAATGTACTAGCATATATAATCGCGGTTGTGTATGTGTAGTAGTTGCTACGACACTGCTTTTCCCAATGTTGTATAATTTGGTTATGTAGTCCTATTTATGCAAAGTAAACTGGCGACGAAGCAGCAAATTAGCTTTAGTGACTTGATTATCTGTTGGCAGATAGTTTTTGATATTGCTTTAAATTAAAATTGATTTTACCCAAAAATGAAGCACGTTGGAGTGGAACGGGTAATTTGAGGGAGTGAAAATAACAAACACTTTTACAAATGTTTGCCTTAGCAAACAACCAAACGCGTATATCCTTCTACTTTTTGGATACCGCAGTGAGCTCTGTATCCCATTCATAGTACAAGTTCTACTCTTCGGGGACATAAAATTGATCTGTTCAGTGTTTTTGCAACCATTTTCTGTATCAAAAACATAATAAAGTGCTGAAAATTTTCCCCGTAAAGGATTGTGAGCTGAAGCGTACAAATTACTTTTCGGTCGCCATCGCCAGCAAAAAAGCATGCAGCATGTAGTTACTGCTGTCAGCACCAGTAAAGGCTTACTCGCAAGCTAGTATTAAATGCAACTAATAGTTTATCCCACAAACCCCATTTGCGAGTCAGCATACCCGTCACGTAAAAGGGTGAGTCTGATTCCAATAATGAACATATAATTCTTGCTCATTGAAAATAACTGTAAAGCTGATAATGTTATGAATGTAACCATTTAGGATAACATACAGAGGCACTCACCTATAGGCGTATACAGAGCATCATGTCAGTAAGCATTTAAAGGTCTAACCGGTAGTGATCGCGCGCAATGAGTGGCGAGCTGGACTTCATTATAAACACGTGTAGAAAGATAAAATCAAGCTCGGACTAAACACAGGTTAAGATCAGGACTTAACTATGTACATTACAGTTGTACTTCTTACCTTTGTTTCACAAGAGAATAGCAGTTAGTCTTCTTCTGTACGTAACGTGTACATAAAGTGAAGCGTGACACTGAATACATAGTGTCAATGTAATTTATGTTTTCCGTATCAGTTGAAGCTACCAGTATCCCGTCATAGTACCCAGCGGTGCAAGTATTGCACTGCTGAGTAATCTCTACAAATTAATATAGAAATAATGATTGTTTAAATATAAAATATATTAAACCAGTTTAAGTACTTTAAACTAAGTAAATGTAAAGATTGAATGACTCGATTCAGTAACACCAAAAGGAGCCGCTCCAATTAATTACGTAATATATAAAAATCATAAGTGAAATAAATTTTTACCAGCTTTGTATTTACTTAAATTAATTATTTAATTGCAATGTTGAAAAAGTGACAATACATTTGATGGGTACGTGTGGGAGGCAATGTCATTTTCACACAAAATTAAATAAATGAATCAAAAAAACTATCAATAAATCAAAGAAGCCTGAGTAAATACTATGGTAATTAAAAAAAAGGTAGAAAAAAAAATTGCTTTAAGGACCAGACTTATAATTTATTAATCTATTACCGATCCACCTGTATACAGCTACAAATGTAAAGTAACCAAACAACATCGTCAAAATGCCGGTACCATGCTGCTGCTTTAAAACTTAACTAATACTGTTAAGTAAAATGATGACGAAGTAATCGAATAGCACTTGCTTTTAAATATACTGCTCTAACAATTACATGAAAACCATGAAAACCTATACCCCTAACACGAATTTGTACACGATGCGTAATTTTAGTTGCAATCAACTTCAATAACAGCCGCCGAGTCGTGTTGGAATAGCGTGATGCCGGTGGGTTTACATTACAGCACGGTGGGTGCAATCATAACAAAGACGATACATGCAATAAAGGATGATGAGGACTGCGGGCGACTACCACATGACATACACAAACCCTGCGGAGATGATCTAGTATTGACGGACCAAGAATAGACGAAGATGTGGAGGTGGATACGATGACAAATTACAACGAGATTAGCGCCGCATCTAAAATCGGGTCGCTCTACTACTATTTGAAGGATAGCATGGATATGGAGCAACACGACCAATTGCGCAGAGGATTCAGCAGGGACGTAGGCACCAAAAAAATTGCTTAGACATCCATGACGACGTGAAAGCAAAAAGAGTATCTTGCACTTAATTGAGCGCATACCTCGCTACGGATTTTAAATGGCGCGTTCTTACTGGCAATGTCAGTCGGAGAAGTAGATCTGGCCCACACGAGTGTGTCGATGACGACGTACTAAAAATTGAGTGACCAATGCATTGATAGTTTGGAAACAATTGTCGTTAAAAGCGCAAAAGAGGATATTACTGTGCGTACAATGAAGCCCATATACCATTGGATAAAGGCCGTATGCCAATGGTAGGGACGATGACAAAACTACGATTAAGCCATTGCGACTGAATAGTGATGTGTCACTAATTAAAGAAGCTGCAATGATAGCCCACGTTTTACCTCAGTCTTACGAGGAGGCAGTGAATCGCCCTGATTATTACCACAGGAGTAACGATGCATTGACTGCAGATTTGCGGCCTAAGAGCGTAACAAGGCGCGATCACTCGTGAAGCGCAACCCCAGCATAGAATATATCGTTTCAAAGTTAAAACGAACGATGATCGCTATAATGTACGGTCAGTGGTGTCGTGCTTTCTACAGCTACATGGCATGAAAAATTTGAAGACGTAAGAAGCTGCGACAGAACGAAATTGATCAAAATACTTCTGTCTATTGGTACGCGGTTGGATCAATGAATGACTAGAGTGATGTCGATACCTCCTCCTTTAATGTAGACTGACAAAAGGCTTAAATGGTGCCCCCAAAGGTGACGAAATTAGTCAGAGAGTAAGTGCACGAGATTGACCAAGAATTTTACGGACCGAACAAATAGCAAGCGATGGAT